TCCCTTGGCCCTTAAAGGGGAAAGGTTGCCTACCCCTGCTCTAACTGCCAGCCTGGGCTTTTATACTGAACTCCCATTGGCTGGCTCTGAGCTGCCTTCTGATTGGCCAGCTGGACCTCTGTTCAGCACACTGCCCTTGAGTCAACCTCAACTCATGGTGACCTTGTGGATGAGACATTTTAAAAACAATAACAACAAACCCCTGTCCTCGACCTCTCTGCTCAGGTCCTGTAAGCTCATGCCTATGTCCTCCCTAATTGAGTTTATCCATCTAACATGGGGTTTCCTTTTTCTTTCTTTCTGCTGCCCTTCACTTTTCCTAGTATCATTGTCTTTTCTAATGATTCATTGTTTCTTATGATGTGCTCAAATACGAAATCTTCAATTTAGGGCCTTTACAGACTGCCAGAAATAGTGCAAATTGAGTCCACTTTAACTGTCCTGGCTCAGTGCTAGGGAATCATGTGAATTGTATATTTTCCCTTGAGACATTGAGCCTTCTCTGCCAGAGAATTCTGGTGCCACAATAAACTACAGTTCCCATGATTCCTTAGCACTGAGCCAGTACAGTTAAAGTGGCCTCAATTTGCACTATTTCTGGCAGTCTGTAAAGGCCCTCAGTCATCTTGGCTTCGAGAGAGATTTTGAGTATGATATGTTCTAGAATGCATTAAAAGGTTTTTGTGGGGTTTTCGGGCTGTGAGGCTGTGTTCTAGAAGAATGTATTCCTGACATTTGGTCTGCATCTGTGGCTGGCATCTTCAGAGAATGGTGGCATGGAGGTGTGTGGGGTATATATACTGTGTGACCCTTGGTTGAGAGGATTAGCATGTAAATCTGTGTATTGTTCTGTTGAGGCAAGGCCTCAGGATGGGAGGATATGCAAGGAGGATTAGTGTCTATTTAATTAATGGTCCATTGTCTGCTGGGAAACCCTCTGACCCTGGGTGAAGTTCATTTGCATTTGCTGAGTCCTGATTTTGATGTTTTTGAGGACTGGTAGCCAAACCTTGTTTACTTTCAGGGTTTTGACTTCACATAGAATGCAATTGTTTGTCTTCTTGGCTATCCATGGTATTCTTAGTACTCTTCTCTAACACCATATTGCAAATGAATTTATTTTCTTCTTATTGGCTTTATTACTGTCCAGCTCTCGTATCTGTAAATGGTATGGGAAATACGATGACTTGGATGATCTTCACTTTAGTGTTCAGAGTTATGTCTTTACATTTCATGATCTTATTCAGTTCTTTCATAACAGCCCTTCCCAGTCCTAGTCTTCTTCTAATTTCTTGACTTCAGTCTCCATTCTGATCAGTATTTGAGCCAAGGTATGGGAACTCTTTGACTATTTCAGTTTTCTCATTGTCTAGGGTGAATTCTTGTAGATCTTCCATTGTCATTATTTTTGGTTTTTTGATGTTCATTAATCCAACCTTGGCACTTTTCTCCTTGACCTTCTTCAGTAATTGTTCCAAGTCTTTGCTTGTTTCTGCTAGTAGTTATGGATCATCTGCATATCTTAGGTTATTAATGTGTCCTTCCACTTGTTTTCACTCCTCCTTTCCTCTGAGTCCAAGCCCGCTCTGTGTATGATATTTTCTGCATATAGATTAAATATATAGGGTAATAATATGCAGCCTTGCCTGATCCCTTTGACGATTGGAAACTATTCTGTATTCTGTTCTGTTCTTGGGTAGCTCTCTTTTAAAGTTGGAAATAAAATTAATTTCCCTGAAATGGAAATTACAAACCTTGGGGAAAAAGAATACTTTGATGATAAATACTGTACTTGAAGGTACAGGCCATGTAATGAAAATAGGCTTGTTTTTTATCCGTTGTTTCAACTAGATTTCAGTATGTTACTTCAACCAATCCTATAACCCCAAACAGAAATTCTGATGATTCTGATTTCTGATTGTATCGGTCATTATTAATTAAAGCAATTTCTGACTTGTCTGGCAAATATTGATCAAGATGGTCAGGTCTTTCAGTTACTTAGCAGAAAAGTGGGATTGTTCGTACCTCTCTCTTTAATCCAGGGAATATGTATAAGGGAAAGTGTTAAGTCGGATTTAGAAAGAGGTTTAGATATTCTACCTTTAGCACTACTGTTAAATTCACCATAACATGTTATAAACCAGCAATTGCCACTACTTTCTGATTATTTCATTTATCTCAGAGAAGCAGCACTCTTAGTCTAGCTACTGGAATTAGTTATGCTGGCACTCTTCCTGCTTTACAATTACTCTCCACATAGGACTTCTTGAAACAGTTTCTTCCTACTCATGTTCCCATTTGTTTAATGATAGTATAGGACAGAGGAATGATGGGTCACTAAAGAAAATGAATGCAGATACATTTTGTTGCTGCCCCCGCCCCCCCGGAAATGTGAAGGATTTCAGCAGAGAATTGCTTGCTCAACTAATAGATGAATTATAATTTTTAAATATAGGTTGCTATAAAGTTTTTTTTGTCATGTTTCCATTTGCTCAATGGAATATCAAGAAATGCAATTGATAGGCTTGTAAAACAGGCTTATGAACATGTGAGCCAGGATGGTATAGTGGTTTGAGCATTGGACTATGACTCTGGACACCAGGGTTTGAATCCCAGTTTAGCTGTGTAAACCCACTGGGTGACCTTGGGTAAGTCACATACTCTCAGCCTCAGAGGGAGGCAATGGCAACCTCTTCTGAAGAAACCTGCCAAGAAAAACCCATGATAGCTTGCCTTAGGGTTGCCATAGCAATAGCAAGTCAATTTCTATACTGCTTAAGTTGGAATAAGTTGCCGTAAGCTGGAAACGACGTGAAAGCACACAACAAGTACATTGTATAATGAAACCATGGTGATATAATAATTTTCTTCCAAAGACTGGAAAAAAATGAAATATCACAAAGTTTTTGCATCCGTTCATTATTTAATATGGGCAAAAGATTAATCTGGATCTACTATAGGTCTCTGGTTGATCCTCAGGAGATCTTGAAAGCTTCCTAGCTTTCATAATCCCTTCATACATTTTGTGACAACAGAGCAGCAAAACGACCCCTTTGATCCTAAAGTATACTGCTGTAATGGAGAAAACTTGGATAACAAGATGTGAAACTTTGTATGAAGGTATTATGAACTCTTCAGACCAAATTCCTGGACTCAGTATTCTAAGTACCGTATTTTCCGGCGTATAAGACGACTGGGCGTATAAGATGACACCCCCCACTTTTCCAGTTAAAATATAGAGTTTGGGAAGAGTATGACTCCCAAAACTGTTGTTGTTGTTGCTGCGCACCTTCAAGTCATTTCCAACTGATGATGACACTAAGGCAAACCTATCATGAACCTCCTTATACCCGGAGTATAAGACGACCCCCCCCCACTTTAACCACAGATTTTGCAGGTTAAAAAGTAGTCTTATACGCCAGAAAATAAGGTATGTGTCTTTTCCACCAGCCTTCAGCCAAACAAGGCCATTCATGTACATGCAATGCATTATCATTAGACTTTTCTGAAGTGCAGAAGGTATTGGAAGATTGGAGATGGGGAGGCAGACCAAGGCAGAGGAGTCCCCATAACATCTCTTTGAGATCATGGAATGCTGCTTGACCCTTGGAAGGAATAGTATGGGAACTACCATTGTGGAGGGAAAATGGAGTGGAGTGATGGGAGTGGAAAACCATAACAGCTCAACTCCCCATGACAAATCTCCCCTCCTCCTTTTTTGGGGTCCTATCTGTACTAGCTAATTTTCTAAATCTTATTCACCATGGTTATTAGAATTCTCTGCAAATCAATCTTTTTATGCATTTTTCTATTACTGTTTGTAGGTATGATAAATGTACGTGTCTTTCTGTAACTGATAAAACAGAGAAATTTAGCTGTGGTATTTGAATTTACTGCTATGCTATTTTAAATTTGAAAATACATATTATTTTAAAATCCGATTTGTTCACTGTCTCCTGTCTGACATTTCAATCTTGATGCATAGCTAGGGTTTATCAGGAAAACAGTAATGAACAAATTTCTACGATCCACCACCCACCCTGTCTGTAGTAAGCAGAAGCAGTAGTTCATGCCAGGAGATTTTAAGTGGCTCTGAGAAATATATTTAACTTAATAAAGAAATCTCTGTGAATAGTAATAATAATGTGTCTCTCCTCTTTTATATGAGATTGAGATTGAGAGAGAGAGAGAGAGAGAAATGCAAAATATAGAATCCATGTATTTTTTTGTTCTCTCCATTTAGAGTTAATGAACTAAATTTATATTTATATTTTTTAAATAATTATCTCTGCCATTTCTTGATAATATCACCTCAGGTCCATATAGATAACAGAGTGACTGATGCAGTACACTCATCCCTCGTTGTTCGTGGACTTGCCGTTTGCGTCCCTTGGTCTTTTGCAGACAGCAAGCCCCGAGGGACAAAATGGCGCACATGGCCATTATATCCTGTGGGACTTCAATATTTGTGATATTTCCGATGGGGTGTTTGTGTCCGGAACAGATCCCCCTCAAATAGGGAGGGATGATTGTATTTTGATTCAGCTTTTCCTTGAAGTTCTTTAATAGGTTATACATTGAAAGAAGCTGTATTTGGCAATTAGCCTATATTTTACAAATGCTCCCACTCCCAGTAATCTGCAGTCATGAAGAAAGATAGAGGGGATAATCAAAATTAGTTCATTTAAATGAAAGTGCCAGTTTAAGATAAATATCTCAATCTTAAGGCTACTATTTTATCTTCTTATCAAGGTATTTCTTGCAAGCGAATAAATATTAACATTCATAAGAGGAAGAGAAAAGAATAGTAATTTCCTATGATAAATTTGCAGCTTGTAATGGTCTGTGGGAGAGAAGGGGCTTAGTTTATCCTGCAGTTTATTTTCGGAACAGGGATGGGAATCAAAAGTTAGAAGCATTTAGTCAAGGGACTCTTGAAATACATAGCAATAAGGAACACTGCAGTTTAAATTGTGCATATCTTTTAATGTATGCTAGTTCCAATTAAATGCCCTTTGCCAAAGGGACTCGACCAAATGGGACTAATGAGTTGAAGCTACTCAGTCATTTTAGCTTTTATATTTTTCTAGAGGTCTAAGGCAAAGGTGGCGGTTCAGCCAGGAAGAGAAAGTAATTTTGCTGCTGTGTGATTCTCCCACTCTCCTCAAATAGACTGTAGAGGGTAAGGACACAGACAGTGTAGGGCAGATTGCTGTTTATTTATATTTGGTGCTTCGGTCCCCCAATTGTCTGAGGGACAGCAACCCGGCCCCCGGCTCAAAAAGGTTGCCTACCCCGGTATAGGTGAATAACTGCATATTCTTTATATGGTACAGTAAAGAAAAAGAATTCTCTCAAATATTTTTCAGCCATTCAAATTATTTTGATTAGGCTCTTGGAATTTTCAGTTCCAAGTATAGAATTCTAATTATGGAATTATGTTTCCCATTTAAGAAAATATTTTCAAGAGTATAAAGCTTTAATATGCATTATCCTAGAAGGAGATATATGGAAACACATTGCCAGATTCTTAATGCCGGGGCAATGGAAAGCTATCAGTTTGGAAAACATTTTGGCCTCTGCTTTTTAAAACATGGGAGTTATACTTTGTGGCTCTTGACCACAAATACCAGCTTGTTTGTGTTTTAGGGTATTGGGGAAAAATTCATATGCAATTTTTAGAAGCTATAGAGCAATAAGACTCTGAGGTGTTAAGTTCTTGGGCATTTGATATTAGTGGTTGTTCACTTCTAACTTTTAAAACCTTTTTCCCATAATGGTTATAACAATTTTTTAAATTTCAGGAGGGAAATTGTTGTTAAAAATTACGCTGATGATTACATAGATCAGGGGCCGGCAACCTACGCCCCCGGGCCTGTTCCGGCCCAGGTCGCCAGACTTACCGGCCCAGGCAGACCCCTGCTGCCGCCACCACCTATGTGCGTTTTGGCCTCCGTGCGGCCGTGCGCGCCACGGCCGGCATTTTGATTTCCAAAATGGTGGCCACGACGCATTTGCGCATGTGCAGGAGTACTGCGCATGCACAAATGCGTTGCGACCGCCATTTTGGAAATCAAAATGCCGGCCATGACATGTGCCGCGGCGGCAGCAGTGGCGGCACTGCGTGGGGGTGCGCGTGGCGGCGGCGGGTGTGCATGTGCGCATGAGCGCACACCCCGCCATTCCCCCCTCCCTTGTCCCGGCGGAGACCAGGACTTCGGGGGACTGGCCCAGGTCTCAAAAAGGTTGCCTACCCCTGACATAGGGGGGATGCAGACCAGGGCATCGGGGACGCTCTGGGACGGTGCATCGCTGGAGCGAGGCACTCACACGGCGGCACACCGGCGGCGTCCCTGAAAGGAGCGCCAAATTGGCGCTCCTTTCAGAAGTCAGGGAAAGTACGCCCTAAACGCGTAGGGTGCACTTTCCCTGACTTTTCCGCCGCAGCATGTGAGGACGCTGCGGCGGGAGGTTGCCTTCGGAGCGCCGGCCATGCGGAGAGCCGGCAGCTCCGAGGGCAACCTCGGGAGGAGGAAGGGGCACCGCTCGTGCTGCTGCCCCTCCTCTTCCCTGCCTCCAAGACGACTTTATTAGTTGTCTGCCGTGGCTGATAGATGCTAAAAAGGAAAAAGGACAAGCTCCAGGTATCTGTCATCCATCGTGTTGTCCATGGTGTTGTCTGCACAAGCTAAATGGCCCACCTTCCCTCCTGGCCACATGTCGTCTAGTTTGGACAATGCAGGCCAAAACACCTATGGCAGGATCAGGGTCAGTCCAACCTGATTAGATCCGAATCTGGAGGATCTGGCCTGATCCTGGGGAAATTAAATGTTACCCCAGAATATAAAAGACCTGGTTTTTCACTGAGTTGCACTACTTCAAAACTGGGCTATTTACACCCCTTCTAGTATTTCTCACCTTAACAGCTAGCGATTTGTCTGTGAAGGCCTCCCCCCCTCACTGTGTCTGATGCAGAAATGGCCATCTGGCCATGTGGATGCAACCAGGCTCCCAATTTCTGCATCAGACATGGGAACTGGGGCTTCTCAGATGGATTGACAGCTGTTAAAGTAAGAAGCAGCACTTTGGTCCTGGATCCCTGGGTCAGTGCAGGAACAGGTGTCTGAACAGCTACCCATCCCCATGCTGACCTAGGGACCAAACTGGGTGAATACCGGGGTCAGGAAAGCTTGACCCATTCTTTCCTGTGCATCTGCTCCAGCTTCATGGTACAAAACAGTAGTCAGCACTAGAGGAAGAGAGTGTACAAACAGTAGTGTTAGCATGAGGCACATACAGTAATAAAGAAGTGAGAGACATGGCAATGGGATGTGAAAATAACAGGAGACAATGGAAGTCCCTTGTCCTTAGTACTGAGCATTGCATTAATAAGTTGTGAGAATGGGAAAATGTGGGGTGTGCAACCTATAGTCATTAGGCATCAAATGGAATGGGGGAGATTACTAATTGAGTTGATTACTCATTTGGTTTTCTCATGATGTATCAGAAGAGATGCTGATTGTTAACAGGGTATGTGTTTTTCAATGGAGATTTTAAGTCATTAGGATGCCTTAAATGGTTCAGTTGAATCTATATTTAAAAAGTTTACCATCTGTCTGTCCAG